CATACTCAAGCATCTAATTATAGCTATACGGTATGGAGCCGAACGCATTAGAGCCGGCGATAAAACTTGGCCCATTTAGAAGCCAAAAATAACAAAAATCAAAGAAATCCCCTAAGGGCAGCCGGCTTCCCTTTCCGCCTCCAACATAAAATGCATTAAGAAGTGTTTGAAAACACACAAAAAGCGTTCGGATTCCACATCGCCAAATAACATTCGATGAAGGCGTAGAATGAGGAAATTGAATGCGGGATTAAAGATGTTATAAGGTTGATATTAAGTTGGTACAGATAAGGTAAAAAGACAAATTTGGTTATTGATGGTATGAGTAGTATATACAGTACTTTTAAGCGAAACCAGTACTAAACAAGTAGAAAAAATTAATTTCATGTTGTTTTAAAACTAGTCAGCATAGCCTTTTTATACTCACAAGTTTTTAAAGTTACTTTTACACTAGTTAATAGCAGCTTTTTAACTTACACACATCTATTGGATTGTTCAAATAATTCTGCGCTGTTTACCCCAAAAATTTGCTTTAAAAAGAGCTCAGAATTAACTTGACAATCTAATATATGAGCTAAATTACCAAAATTAAAAAAAACTAAAATCAAATACAGTAAAACCTTGTTAATAGGACACCACTTACAACAAAACCCTCGTTATGTAATAGAGCACTTTTTAAAATCCCCAGAAAAAATTTTTGCACTGATTCTTAGATAAAAGAACTTCGGATGTAACAAAACTCCGCTACAGCGAACGATTTTTCAATTCCCCTGCGGATTCGATGTAGCTGGAGTTCACCGTAGTATCAAAGGCTGTCTAATATGTAATTCCTACTAATATCATCGCGGTAAACCAGTTATAAACTATCAGTTTTAAAATGCCTAGAATTTTTAACTAGAATCAACTTTTTAAAATTTTTTAAATTTGCAAACCATCTCATGACAGCTCCTGTACAAATTAAGATGTAAGCATGAAAATGTTAAACACTATCAAACCTTTTTTAAAATTTTTCTACACCAAGTAAAGCTTACCTCTTTTTCTCTCCCACCTCGCCTTCCTATCATTTTTTATCGCCCCCCCCGGAACCTCTAAAAAAGTCTAACAACTAAACACTATAATACTAAAACTTTCAAATAGCACAACCCAAACCAATATAAATAGAACCTAACGGCCCAGATTCCAATCAACCCAGTCCCATTATGCAAACTATGTAATAACAAACACATTAAGCTAGTCCCACGCACCAAACAAGTCGTTAATCCGGCCTATTAATCACAATTCCATCAATGGCGTGCCCTGCGGCCATAACTCGGAATTTGCAAACGAAATAAAGTCATCGCGTAGAGAAGAGTGTAATGTACATGTTGTCAACTCAACACGCAACATACCAGCATTCTACCAAGTTTTTGCAAACTCTCTGGGATATTAAGGGCAGTAACTATGTTATAGTAGGTAAAGAAGCTATAACAAGAACAAAAACTTTACAAAAAAAGATTTTCTTTCTTAATCCTTTACGTTTCATGTACCGAAAGCCTACCTTAATATAATTAAACAGCAAAAACGTTTAAAACTTTAAAAAATTACACCAATGCGTGCAAAACTATATAAAACAAAGTATGTGAAACATATTATAGTAGCTAAAACAGGTGGAAAAGTGGCTGGTATGACTGAAATGATGTGAGTTATGTGTTTAGGAGTAAAATGCGAAGTAAATGGATAAAAAATAACACATGTTTTTTCTGGCTTGCATAATATAATATAGAAAATTTTTCGAAATTTGCAGAATGTTCTATGTTATAGTAGTTGGAGGGCTTTGAAACGCCATAACTTTTGACAAAAGCTACATATTGTAGTAGAATTTTGTTTGGAAAGTGTTCAAAGAGTACTAGTTGCATATTCATATAGTCAAGTTTGAAAAATTTTGCTTGTGGAATTATAAAACGCACTAAAATTAAAAATTTAATCCTTTATTTACAAATTTTTTAAAAAATTAAATTTTAAAAAAATTTCCTAAACTGCCAAATCTTTTTAAAAAATGCAAAAACCAAACCTTCTAGATTCAAAAACAAACATTTTTAAAAACAGTACAATAGATCTCAATTTCAATGTGAATTTTGAAAAAGACCTTTAGTTCCAAAAGGCTCATGGATAACATAGAAACCCTGGGGTTGCCATGAGTTGAAACCGACTTCTACACATGACTATCAGTTCCTTGGAGTTCATTACTATAGAGAAACTTCATATGATTCTGGCAGCTAGATATACTAAAAAAATTTTTTAAAAAAAGAAGATATATACGAGTTCAGAATAGAGTAATACCTCCGTATAAGGAACCTCTATATAACAAAACCTCTGCATAACAAACAACTTTTGAATCCCCCGTCTACCACTATACAGTGCATTCAGTGTTTTGCCGGTCCGGTCCGGGCCGGACCCAAAAACCTGCGGACCCGGACCGAAGAAAAAGTTCCGGACCGGTCCGGAAGAAATTTTTTTTATTTTAAGAAAACTGTTTTAAAAATTGCAAATAAACATATTTTTAGGAGTTTTTAAGCAAAAAGAAAGCAGTTTTAGCGATCCTTGCTTTTTTTAAAAATTAAAAAAATTTTTGCGGACCGGACCGGACCCAAAAATTTTGGGTTTGGACCGGTCCGGACCGGACCCAAAAAATCGCCGGACCGGACCGGTGAAAAAAGCTCCGGACCGGTCCGGGCAAAACACTGAGTGTATTTAAAACTCCTGTATAAAGAAACCTTTTCATAACGACCAAATTTTAAATTCACTAGATTTTTGTTGCACAGATTTCCACTGGAGTTTAAAGCCAACTAGTCAACAAAAATTTTTTTTTAATCTAACTAAAAATATTAAAGCTAAACCAAAAAGTAACGCTAAACTTTGTAAAAAGTTAAAACATAAACTGTATTCCAGCTACAGGTGTAAATTATCGTCAATGTATACCTAGAAACTTAAACTTTACTCAAAATTAACCTTTTAAACTCAAAGAAAAGTGTACAGTTTTTAGTTTAAAATGCTTTAAAATTATCGTCACCTTGTACTCGCAAACTAGTTATTAAAACCTCTTTTTTCATACTACACCACAAAGCTCATACCTAAATTAAATGTAACAAATTTTATGTTTTGCTACTATTCTCGCACCTATTTTTCCTTTTTTCCACTAAATTCTGCTTACAATTTCACAGTTTTTACCCTATAACAATGTCAACCCCTCTTCCCAACCCTTTTCAATTAAAAACGGTTTCAAAACCAACCCATACCCCCACAAAATGTACCAAAATTCACGCTCGAAACGCGTCGGATGATCCAGGGAAAAGAGAGCCTGAGGGCAAGAACACTCTCCCCCCCCTCCCTCTGCCTTAACGGGGGGGGGGAACGTTTGAGGGCGGCGGCGGTGGGGGAGCTCTTTTCGGCCGCTTCTACTTTTCATCCACCCTCACCAAAATGAGAGAAAGCGGTCACAACCGGCTGTCTCTACCGTCTCTCACCTGGGCATGGTGTTTTGGGTCAGGCGAAAGTGCAGTGAGCCGGGAAAAGAATTCAAAGCCCGCAGGGTTTTATGTGTTTGCGAGTTAATTAGCATACATATTTGGGGGGGGGGAGAGGGGAGAGACAGGGGTTGACAGTGGAATTAGCATAAAGACCAGATGTAAGATAATATAATATCGAGGAGGGGGGAGTACAGAGGAAGAATAACATTAATATAATGGGAAGAATGGACAAAGAATGGCATTGATAAGAAAATGGCATGTTCATATAACTTCAACGGGTATGTTCATATATTGTAGTTACAAAAGAAAGTTCTGATATACTCTTTGAGTTACACTTTATCAAATTACCCCAGCTATAACAACATAAACTTGAACTCTAATTACAAGCCAATTGAGCTTATTCAGAAGTAATTAGGGTTCAGAACACAAGATTCAAGAGTTAAACTCAAAAAGTTTCAAAAAGAATAAATAAATAAAAAATGTCAATTTTATATCATAAAGCTATCAAAAATTTTAAATTAAAAAAATTTTAAAAAAATTTAAATTTTCAAAAAAAAATTTTTTAATTTTAACATTTAAAAAAATTTCAAAATTTTAAATTTCAAAAAATAAAAATTTTACAAAATTTTAAATTTTCATTTCTTCTCCCCGCCCTCCCCTGTTTATGCAAATTCGTTTCGAAACCAAGCACCGTGAAGTCCTTCTTTGTGTGTTTTTTGTTTGTCGCGGGGGAGAGGCTATTTTTAGCAGCCAGCCGGCTCTATTTTTGACATTTGAAAAAGTTGGAAAAAGAAAAAAACTTTACAAATTACATCACTCGTATTTACTATGCTCGAACACAACAAAACACATGTGGGCACGCGGATATATACTACTGGTTATTGGTTGTATAGGATATATACTACTAGTTATTGAACATGTAGAATAGTTACTAATAGTTACTAACTATATAGGGCGTATACTACTAGTTACTAACCACTTATGAGAACTGGTTATTAGTCACATAAGACCATACTACTAGGGGTACAAGCCAGTTCTGCCATTAAATACTATAGTTAGCAGTAGATTACACTCGGAAGTATATAAATTTAAAAAGCGAAATGACCACTTTCCTCGAATCAGTCTGGCTTCCCACCCTCAGGCTATTACTTAAAGCCCTCGATCAGTCAAAATAAACATCAGCTGTTCTTGGAATGGACAATCACATGCCATTCGAAATGGGTTTGAATTTCACTTGTAAAGAAAGTTTTTTCGGCGCTTTGTGTTATCTATGCATTTATTGTATTAGATTGGCAACTACCAAGAAAGATTTTTGAAGATCTTATATTCACATGATCTTTCTTTATAAAAAGTTTGAAGTCTATCAGGGCGAGACGGGTCGGACGCTTTTCTTGTTATAATAGTTGCCAACTTTAAACGTCAACATTAGCAATTACTTCATACTTTTATGTATAAAACCATGTAATTTGTAACAAAAGTAAAAAAATGTAATTTTCAATGTAAACCACTGCTCGAGCTATGGCTAAAACTTGTAATGCTTGGTCGTTGTTTGATAATATTGAGTAGTGCCATTTGGTACGGCTTGATAGCGAATACTGTAGCCAGCGGGTTGAACAAAGGTATCCAAGCTAAAGTGGCATAAGCCGTGATTGAAAACGCTCCTACGTTAATACCAAATATAATGGCTGAGGCTACAGTTACTGTAGGGCCGACTGATGTTAATATTGGCAAGACAGCCTAAAATTAAGAATGATTATAGTTTATTCAGTTTGTATAGTAAGTACTGTAATGTCTTGAACTTTATGGTAAAAATTATAAACCTTTACTATTATATATAATAATATACATTATCGCAGCTCATAAAAAAATGTGAAGTACATTACTGTAAGTTTCTTGACAAAACTATAAGTACCGTATTTTACCTGTAACAACAACGCAGTAGACAACTGTTGTTCAAGTCTTAACGTTTTCCCACTGTACGAGGCTCGATTATCTCTTATAGTAAGCATAGTCAATCGACCATAGTAAAGTGCCAGAATGTAAGCACCACCAAGACCATTTATCATCCACATTGATGCTATTTGAGTATATGCGCTTTTCTGAAACTTGTTATTGTTATATTACGGTAAACCTTTATTATAAGCGAGGTAAAGAAACAAAATCTATTAGATCTTTATAATAAGAGCTTCTTTTATAAAATTAACATTGCTTTCTCCTGGTCAAGTCAAAACTTAGTCTACGTTTACTTCTAGTCTTAATTATCAAAAAACTCAGCTAAAGTAGAATTTTAAAACTTACAGAATCAAGTGGTATAATATTAGGTATAGGTCCGTAGTTGAACCACATACTTCCATAGTTAAACCCAGCTCTGTTATGACCACTCTTTAGAGCCGATAAATAACTGGTGTAGCCAGAAAAAAAACCAGCTATCAATGATATCAAATACAATATTATAGTAGTTAAGTGCGATGGCTTTTGCCTGTAAAATAAGAATCGTATGTAACATAGCTAAACATACCCATTAATGCAGTTATAGCGATAGTAGTAATTGGCTGGTAAGATAGTGATAACATTCGATATACTGAAAGCATAATACCCGATAAACACACATTGCCAACGGTAACTTAAGTACGATACTGGGCCTTCACACACTAATAATAAGACTCCGTCTCTTATGTTTGAGGTCTGAAAATTAAAATTTAAAATAAAGGATTAAAAATTACAGTAATTTGATTAAAAATTTCTGAAATGTAAGAGAATATATAAACTATCTTACTGAATTTTCTATGGTATGGTAAAATTGCTATAACTTTCCAAAAATTTCAAAATCTTACTAGTTGTGTCAAGCTAATGGCAATCCAACATTGAGTGTCACAAAGACAACACATGAGTAGCATAGTTTTGTAGTCTTTTAATATTAACTTTGACTTTGTTATAATCAAGTATAACAAAGTTAAACATGTGATACCTCCTATGGCTACAGCCACACTGTGTAGCCATCTATTTACTGCCATAAAAGTTTCATATTCAGATACTGTAACAGTTGATGACAAGTTCATATTGTCGTCTTGCCAGCTGAAGGGGTTATCGTAAGATACAGTAGGCATTGTTACGTAAAATGTAAGGCAGTAAAGAACAAGGGTAGAAAAGTTTACGAATTGAACTAAATCTTATATATATAGTGTTGTAAAAACAATTAAAAAGATATAGTGCGTTGAGTACTTTGTAAAAATAGCTGCACTTAGTATATGCAAATTTTATACAGTATAGTCGTGTAAGTTAATGTATGCAAGTTTTATATATTATAGTCTATAGTAAGAAAAAAATATAATGTGTAGTGCAATTACAAGTACGTTAATACGTGTTGTAACAGTATAACACGTTGCCTAAAAGTATAGTGCAACGTAGTACGTCTTAGCAATTAAAAGATAGTAATTTACAGGTAATAGATGTAAGATATATCTAGATACCAAATTACTGTTCACAGTAGTTAAAACAGATTAATAGTGCACAAACGTATTTGAGACTGCATATTTCAATTTTTAAGTGTAAGCTCTATCTTACTTACCGTTACATAGCACGTTTTGTTAGTATATCAACAAGATGTGTTTACGCAGATATGTCTAAAGTATATAAATAAAGTAATATATTTACCAGAAACTCATACATTATGTTGTATACCATGTTGTACAAAATATAAACGACTTAAAAAACGTATTTCTTGTTGTACATAGTACTACAAAAAGTATAATATACCTGTTAGTAAACAATATGCATCATGCTATTTTACAATATAGTACGTGTTATTAGAGAAGTTTTTATCTATAAAAATATCCAGTTAGATCGGATTTTAAAATTTTTAAGCTATTTTAGGTAATAAAGAGTCTGTGAACTCAAAATGATGTAAAGCAAATAAAATAATTATATTGGTGTTCAAAAAGTAATGAGCCATTAAATAAGAACAATTTTCTTTCAAAAACAACTGCAATTTACATATTTACTTTATTCACAATATAAAAAGTAGTTTGATGTGCACAGCGTTACCTATCATCGGATTAACAAAGAATGTCAAATTTTCAGCTGGGAACACTCCATCGACAGTTACATTTGACGATATGCCAAAATCAATTGTACAGTCAGATGAAAACCACTTTGTATTCTTCATGAGAATCACTGTCCTGTAGCCATCTGAACGGCCCAAATCACCAAGTTGTTCGGTCAACTCTTTGGCAATCTCATCCAAGCTTTCCCAGCGGTATATTTGGCTGAGATTAATATTTAAGGCAATATTAGGTAAAATATGTTACACTAGTATTAAGTATAATATCTATAGATTACATTTACATGAGTATACAAAGCGGTAGAATTACTGTAACTTTTTAAAATTAACAAATTTAAAAATTATTGTTGTATGAAAAACCAATCTAAAATCACAAAAAAAATTTGTTTCTAGCACCTTTTTAAAAAAAGTTGTGCTTAAAACAAATAGGTTTATTATTTTTTTGACAACGGCTTACATATGTATAATACAGTTAGATAGCACTTATTGGCTCCTATGGTTCAAACTGTATTTTGGCCATTTTTATTGAGTTTTTTAGTTTTCATTAAAATGAGTCAAAGAGATCACAACAAGCCTCTTTCGTATTATCAACTAAAAGATCAGAGTACCAACATAAATATATAATTATCTAACATATTTATAAAAAATAAAATCAGATCCTTCCAGAAAAGATAAAGTTTTTTTATAAAATATATAAACTTTTATCGCTGAAGACAGTTTGTTAAAGTAAATCCTACCAAAATCACAACTGCTGGTAGTCATGTTGCTTAAATTTTTAAATAACATGATACATTTACATAGAATATTTAGAGACTTTTACTGTAAATGTGCAGTATTTTTTGATAGGACAGTGGCGAGATGATAAATTCCGCTTTTGATTAAGTAAATTCGAAATTTTTGAAGTAAAATACGAGATCCAGTCTATAATTAAACTTGATAAAAAATGATTTATTCTTCAAAATCTAAACTATTATTTAATTTTACCTCGAGGTATCATACTTACGACTCTTGCCGAAAAGTAAGATAAAAATATGGGTCAATAATTGATTGCATAATTTATAGCGAGCCTAAGCCTACGGGCCCTTTTTACTATCTTTGTCTGTTTATTCCTTACAAATGCCGATTTCGTGAGCGGTTTGGTATAGTTTTTAGCTCTGATTTACCGGGGTTTTTTTTTTAAATTAATACTCTGAATTATGATTTTTTTTAAAGTTTTGCATGTTGCTACTGTTTTTACAATAAAATTTAGTTATAATCAAGTCTAAAAACACCATTTTAAATAAATTTAACAATTGTTTCTTTATTACATTTTTGCTTTACAGTACTATTTATAGTAACTTAGTTAAAAAAATTTATTTAGCTGCATTTCTTACTACAGTAATCCTTTAGTAGCGTTAAAATAACTTTATTTATCCTCCATTAATGTTTGTCGTTAAAATTTGAAAATATAAGTTTTTGACCTTATTTGACCTCGCGCGAAATTGTTGTACGGGGTGTTTAAAGATTGTGCCTCAGGGTGTAAAGACGTTAAACAAAAAATAACAGCTTTATCTTATCGAGATATGATGGTTACGACCTTCAGAAAAAAAGTAATGCAAAATATAGATCATTATTTGATTGCACAACTTCTATCAAGCATAAGCCTACACGATCGTTTTACTACTTTTGTCTGTTCATTCTATATTAACGTCGCTTCCGGAAGCGGTTTGGTATATTTTTTATGTCTGATTAATTGGTTTCTTAAAATTATCGAAATTATTAGCTGACATTATACGTTTCAATAAAAAATTAAAAATATATTTGCAGCTGAAGATAACAAAAAGCTCTTTATAACGAGATTTTTCATAACGAGATTCTATTTTATTTTTTAAAGTTTTACTTCGAAGCTTTACATTACTATTTATAGTATGCAAATAAATAAGTTTTTAAAATATTAGCTGGATTTTTACAACAATAACTTTTTGATAGGATTAGAAAATCTTCTTTCCTCTTCGTTATATTTGTCACTATATCAATTTTAAAAAAAATATAAAAGTTTTTGACCTTTGGACTTTTCTTATGTGAACTCGCGCGAACTTTTTGTACTAGGTGTTTAAATATTGCGCCTCAAGGCGTAGTTCTTAAAATTTGATCTAAACAAAAGCAATTGTTGTAAATTATCTCAAGACGTCGCACATTTTTATGGTGTGGTCCTATCTTCACTCCTTCCATATGTCCAGGCCACAGGCGGTTGTGTACTTACTTACAAGACTTTAACATTGATAAATTATAGTGGTTGAAACTTCTTTTTCGAGATGTACCTTTATAGATAACGTAGAGCAAGAACTATATTTGTTAACCTAACAAAGTTTAATTTTTTAGAGATCAACCAATTAAAAAAAAGATGTCAGCCTTCAACTTCCATGTCCCCGAACCCGCTGGGTTTCCTGGTTCTTCCGCTAGCAGGAGAAATAACCAGTTTATGGAGCTAGAGACCATTTCAGGTCCAATTGTACCAGTTGTGACTAATACAAGTCGCTTGTTTGGCTCGAATTTCATGGTGGTTAGAGCTCCGGTTACGGAGTTGCCTTGGAGTCACCGTGCGGCTGAAAGGGCTGCGAAGAAGGCCAGGAAGATCATGGAGACGTTGAAGTTGGTAGAGGAAAGAATTGGGGAGAAGCAGAAGAAGAAAGAGAAAGAAGCCAAGAAAGCGGCGAAAGAAAAGAAGACCAAGAAGTCGAAGGGCAGGAAGCTGGAGGACGCCTTCAGTCGGCTGGAGATCTCGGAGAGCCTGGCGGGTCAGCTGAGCCAGTCCGAATTGGACTGTCTTCGGATGCCTCCGCCAGTTCGAAGAGCCATCCGCCGAGCACTCAAGAAGTCAACTCTGAAGGACTTCAAGCAGATGGTGAAGGAGGTAAGAAAGGAGTTCAAGATGTTGGTCAAGGGATTCAGCACGGCGGACAAAGCGTTCAAAAGGAAGAATCTGGTAGAACACTACCAGATATGTCTTCAGAGGGTCGACTGGATAAGGATGAAGATGGGGAAGAAGGCTAAAGCTTCTCAATGCTTTTTTAGATATAAAAATATTCATATCACTTTTTTTTAAATAAATTTTAAATTTTTATAAAAAAAATAAAAAAATATAAAATTTCAAAATCCATAAAAATGAAAACTTTTAAAACCGTAAATTTAGAAAACTAAAAAAATAAAAGCAAAAAAAAAGAAAAAAATTTCTTCACCAACTCTGGATGCCTTGTCGTGGCGGTGAGGCTTAAGTATGGTACTTGTTTGACACACAATTTTACCCAATTTTTAGATATCAAATAGTATCATACAAACCAAATTTCAGAAAAATTTCAAACTTTTTACAAATATGTTTTTAAACGTTTTCGAACTTCACGAGGTAGTCATATTTATTAAATTTCTACATAACATGATACGTCTATAATATTTAGAGGTTTTTACTGTAAATGTGCAGTATTTTTTTTGATAGGACAGTGGCAAGCTGACAAATCCCGTTTTCGGTTAAATAAATTTGAAATTTTTAAAATAAAAAACGAGATCAAGACTAAAATCAAGAGTTTGAAACGTGAAGACTTGTGTGCCTTTGAAAAACGTTTTTAAACTTTAATTTTCAAAACGTTGATTTGTAAAGATAATAATTCCCAAAGATTATACTTTGGCCCCACAACGAACACCAAAAATCGCAAAACAAAGCCTTGGCATTGTGCTTCACGCTTCAAAATTTTGAAGTTTTCGAAAGTTTTGGATAAAAATTGAGATTGGACACTCCAGGTAATAAGTTCCCACCTCAAAATGGCTAAATTCTTTTTCGACAAATCCAATAATTGATTTGTTTAGGTATCAAATCGACGTTCAAGCCATGTTCCTCAACGCCGTCACAATTCTTTTTTCAATAAACTTTGCGAATCTTCGTCGTCGTTGTCGCGCGAACCTTCGGAGCTGCAACCTCGCGGCCAATGCCATGAAATCGACCGCTTGATTCAGATCATCTACTACACTGTTACTTGGAGGAGCAATACCTGGTGGATGAGCTCCTGGAGGCATTCGAGGTCGTGGAGTTAATCGGGACGGTACAGGTGAAGCATTTTGAGGTGAGGGTGGAGTTATGGAGTTGGAAATGGCAGTGGTAGGGGAGATCTGGACTGGGCGTGGCTGTGGGGTGGTGCGGAACGCTGGGGGTGGTTGAGAAGGGCCGATGGGCTGGGCTGTTGGTGGAGGTGATGGGCGGGAGACTGAAATTGAGTTTTTAGGTGTAAATATTTTAAAGTTATGTTGTTTTAGGTAATAACGGATATACAACTTTTGTCTTGGCAGCAAAGTACAGTATTTTTCAAGTTTTAGAAGTTGTTACCTAAAATAATTAAAAGCATATTGTTTTAGGTATAAAAAGGCATAAATTCCAGTGTTTTCAATTGTAAATTTTTCTATATATTCTAATTTTAGGACTCCTTACCTCCAGCTCTAGGGGTAGGTTGCGGCTGAACCTGAGCTGGTGGCTGACTGACTGGAGCTCGAGATTGACCAGCTGGAGGCATAGTTCTAGGCACAACTGGAGGTCGGCGTTGAGGAATATTGGCCTGTTGTGGAGGTCGTGGCCTGAGAGGTCCAGAAGCTTGCACTTGAGTTGGAGATTGTGGCAACTGTTGCGTTGGTTGCTGTTGTTGTGCTTGAGGCTGGAACTGTTGAGGTGGGAGTCGTTGGAGGGGTGCTTGAGTTGGGGGTGGCGGAGGAGGGAGTCGTGGTCCTAGTGTGACACGTGGTGCCACTTGTCCTTGATTCACAAAGGCTGGTCGTCTTGGGGGTTGTCGGAACGCACTGAAATGGATTTTATTGTTATGTTGTTATGTTTTAGTGGCTTTTTATTAGGGTTAAGAAGCTGATATTGGTTAGTAAAAGCGTTAGGGTTATGAATGGTGAGCGAGGTATGTTGTGGATCGTGCAGTTTTAAAGGCGTCCTTATTGGATAACAATGCGATTGACTTAATTTAAACTAATGACTTAATACGTTTTGGGCTTGAAAATCCATCTTGGGATTGGTTTTAAGCTTCATGTTTAAAGCCTCCAAGTCATTAACATTGTTATCCATCTAAAAACAACCCCTAATCCACCTGAGTTGGCTAGCTGATTCATTGGCTGGCACGATGGTAACTCTTCTTATTGATGGCCTAAATTGACTCAGTCTGACTCCAGTAACAGGATTTATCCGAGGTATCCTGGGTTTAGCAGTTGTACCACTTTGTGTCGTCACAACTGTAGTAGATGTGGGTCCACTGGTCGATAATGTTCGACCAGTCTGACTGGTTGATAGTGTTCGACCAGTCGATGTTGAAAAACCTGTTGATAAGGTTGGTTTTACCGTCGATGGAACTCGAGTTGTCGGCCGAAAAGTAGTTGATAAAGTTGTGATAAACTGTCTTGTAGTGGATGATGGTTGTGTTGGGGATATTGTAGATTGTGGTCTGGTTGATAATGTAGCTGGTGAACGAGAAGATGCTGTTGTTGACAATTGTCTTGTCGTTCTAAACGCCGTTTTTTGAACAAAAATATCAAATTATAGGGTATGTTAGGGGTAATTGTTTAATATAAGTTACGTTAGTTGTATGACATGTTATTTGGATAAGACGCTTGTTATACTGTGTTAAGTGAAGGCTACAGGACCCAAGAATTTTTGTGGCGAAAGTTGATACACATGAGGGCTTTTTAAAAAAGATTTTTCTTGAAGAGACTCAACAATAATTTTTTTAAAATATTGAACTTTAAAGGGCACAATTTTTCTTTCTGAATACTTATAGACCAAACATGACATGTTAGTAAAGTTATGTTAATGATCTTCCTACGATAATGTTAAACGATTCATTAAATTAAAGTTGTTATTTTAGTTTTAAAAATTTATATTAGGTTGTTCGAGTAATTATGTGCCCTTAAATTTGAAAACTTGCGTTGAGAGGGAGCACATAATTATTTGAAAAACCTAATAAATGATATTCTAACTTTTACTGGTTATAGTTAAGCTTACTGTGATCAAAAGCAAACAAACCTGTTTGGGAAAAACTGTAGAGCAGGGTTTGGGTTTTGCTAAAACAGTATCAATTTAAGCAGTTTTAGTTGGGATTGTTGAGCTTTAGGTAAAAAAATAGTTTTAAATTTTGTTTTACAGGCTTGGATAACTTTATTGTAAACAATATTGTTAAAATTTTAAAATAAAATTTGCGCTTATAATGGTGTATTTAACATGTAAAATACGTGTGTCTAAATAATAAAAAACCATTTAAAAAAAAGTAATTTTTCTTAAAAACATTTTTTTTTTCAAAACTCACAATAAATCTTTGTTGTGCATCTACAGTAACCGCTACAGTAATCAACGTAAGAATGGCTGCTTCTGACATCCGATTCCGTTTCATTTTCTGTCTTCAACCTTAAAATTTCTGAATAGACCGAAATATTTAAATTTCAAAATTATTTTAAAAATACAAAAAACACAACTCTTCGAATATTGTTGTTTGTTTTTTGTGAACGCGGTAATTGACAAATTCGAAAGGACAATAGAAAAAGCGAAGCGAGTGGAAAATCAGGCCCGGAGGGGCGACAGACTTTTAATGCGATCGAAAAACCAACATAATGACATTTTGAGGTGAGGTTAGGGCTGTGGGTCACGTGACAGGCATGGTTGAGGCCATTTTATAAATGGGCATGGTCGAGGCCATTTAAAGACACGGGAGGGGAAAGTAAGGTCGAGGTTAGGCAAATAAGAAAGGTCGACTTAAGTTAGGCAGGTAAGGTCAATTTGAGTTAGGCAGGCAAGAAAGGTCGATTTATAAAAGTAAGATGATAGCTTCTAAAGGTTTAGTTAGCTTCTTAAAGCTAATCTTTGGTCATAAAGTTAACTGTTTTCTAGTAAAACATATTCATTAGTCATCAAATTTCTTCGTCATTCCTTCAGCTACTCCTACTCATTTTTAGGCTTGCTAGGCCACTCTGAGTTCTGCCTTATCCAATTCCATTTCAATTGCTAAGCGCAGGGTAAATCATAAACAAAGTTTTTAAAATCAGTCACATAAGTTGCTTAACAGTACATAATTATAGGACTTAACATAAGGTCTTCATAGGACAGTATAATATTCAAAAGGGCATAATATGCTTGTTTTCAGTCCCAAATGGCCTGGGGTATGGCCAAACCACTATTTTTTCAAAAATATATAAAAAATCATTGAAGATTAGCTCAAAGAAGAGCTAATTGGTTTAAAATCCGTTAGTTTTTGTTGGTATCGATTTGGAGACGAATTTACGATCAAAAATAAAATCAAACTGGTTATATGACATAAGATTATACAGAGTACATATAAAAATATACTGTGAACAAAACAATTTTATTGAAATCGTTTTGAAATGACAAGAAATTAAAAAATTATTTTTTAACCTGTGACATGATATTTGGGTCTCCAATTGTGAAACATGAATGTCAGACCTAAAGCTACAAAATCGTTGAGTTTATCCTGCTTTTTAATTTTTCGTATTTTATAATAAAAATTTTATATATTTTTAAAATATAACCTTATTTCCCTATAAGACCAAAAAACCATTTATATTACAGTAGAAACCGCATAATTCTGTGTCAAAACCCAAGAATTTTAAACCAAAAATTTGAAAAATTCACCATCGACAAACTCGGCGACAAAACTACAAAAACACATAAATAAAAGCGATATTTGCGGTAGAAGGACATACCACGATGACATACAAAGAAAACATATTTGTTTATTTACCGTAACGGGCGAAAGTGTTTTAAAGTAAAGCAGCTTTGTTCCACAAGGTTTACAAGGTTACGAGGATAAGTTGCGCAGCATGGGATTTTAAGAGGGTGTTCACTACATTATGTGTCAAACGTGGTCAACAACGTTTTTTATGTTAAGATTTTGTAAGTAGTCAGTGGCAGGACAATTTTTGGTGGAGGGGGTAGGTGGAAAGGTTAATATTAGGTAGTTCACATAATTGCGTGCCCCGTAATTTTGAAAATTTGCTTAGAGTGGGGATACAGAACTATTTGAACAACCTAATAGAAGCAATTCCTTCAAAAAATTATAAAAAATTTGTTTTCAACAAAAAAAAATCCTCCTCCCCTTTCTTAGGAAGGAGTTTTTTACCCCTCCGTAATCTAAAATAGCTCTCAATAGAAATTATAAAAAGACTGTTTCACTGTTTTATTTCTAACAAAAGTCTACTGTAAACCACAGCAACTACTAACCAGCATATTAAAATTAAAAACAACCAACAAAAACCCATGCCACCTCTAAAAAAGCAATCATTATGGCAGTAAAACGTATTATTTAAAACGTAAGTTGCAGCAACGTAAAAAGTGCTAAAATGGCCTTAAAATGGTTTTATTACAGCGATGAAACAAACTTTTACGTTTGTCAAAAGTGATTGGAAACAAATCAAAAGAAGCTCCAAGCTCAAGTACAATCGGCCGTTTTCGTAAAGACTGCTCTTTTACTGTAAACTGGCTAATTAAAGGTTGTAATTGAATATTGCATTGGCGACAACGTTTCTCAAGAGCGGTTGAAATTGGGCTTCAAGGTTTTATTAAAGTTTCAATTATAGAAATGGTTGTAAGTATAATGTTATAGTAGTAAAAGAGAGTAGTAAAAGTACAATTTTAAAAAGTTGATCAGTAGGTATATATTAAAACTTAGAAATTAGCATTACAAAGCTTTTAATTCAAAATGTGAGTAGTTGTAGTGAAAGCTAGGGGAGATAGGGGTAATAAACGGCCGTATAGGCTCGGCCCGGCTCAGTTTGGCCCTACGATCAAGCCGATCCGGCCTTGAACTAAAGTTGAAAAGGGCCGGGCCGGCCTAAGGAAAAATGGAAGCAGACGGACTTTAGGCCACGGGCCTGGGCCCCAACGGTTTACCAAAAAAAATATTTTGAAAAAGTTAAATTTTAGCCATTTTTCGATTTTCAAAAAGTTTTTTTTAATTTTTACCTACCCCCTACCCCACCTCCAAAAAATCAAAAACTGTCTTCGTGCCACAACTTATAACCATATCAAATGCTAAATAATGCTATCTCCAAACCATTGATTAGAAAAAAAACGTCTCCTAAACAAAAATTGATTATTGTCAGTAATCAAACGGCCTTTTTCTTTTGGTATTTTACACTAATTGCCACAGTTCAAATAGAATTGTCACTTTACTTTTTGTCCCAAAGTTTCGGGAGACAGTAAAGTAAAAGAGTTTATGATTGATCGCGGTGTTTTGATGTAAGAGTAATTGACTACAATAAGAACACACGGTACAGCTTGTTTAAAATTTAAAGACAGTAGTTGTGATAAGGTGTAACAGTAGTTGTGATAGTGTAAAGAGTGATTAAAAAGAGCAAACACTAAAATTGTAGTTCGTCAGGCCGTTCAAATAATTCTGTGTCCTTTAATCCTGGAAATTTTCTTTGAGGGAGACACAGAATTATTTGAACAAGTTAATTAAAAAAGTTTTTAAAAACTTGTAAACGTGACCTATCACTAAGTAATCGACAAGTTGTCTGCAATTTAAAATTGAGAAAATTTTTAAAAATCGAATTACAACTATAAAAGGTAATGGAGCAAATAAAAAACACGAGGCTACCTTGTTTTTGGGTAATTAAAGACTCCGTAAAGTAGTTTTTTCATCGCTAAGTAGATTAAACGTTTACATGGTCAGTTTTCGATTATTGTCTGTCATTTTGGTTTATATATCAGGTTTTTCGAATATGGACGGGCCATAAATTTATTTTTAAAAACTTACAAAAAAATTTGTTTTAAAAGGCTCATTTATATTTGGACAACTGTATGATTGTATGATTTTGATGCAAAAAGAATGGCGCGTTTTTAAAAAAATTAATTTTCAAAAATTTTAACTTTTTTCCTTTAATTAGGTAAGTTGCACTCTTTTTCTGTAAATTTAGAAAAGGTTCAAGTACCTTGAAAGTTCTGCTATACCCAGTGTTTTGCCCGGACCGGTCCGGAGCGTTTTTCACCGGTCCGGTCCGGCGATTTTTTGGGTCCGGTCCGGTCCGCAAAAATTTTTTTTTAATTTTAAAAAAAGCAAAGAGCGCTAAAACTGCTTTCTTTTTGCTTAAAAACTCCTAAAAATATGTTTTATTTGCAATTTTTAAAACAGTTTTCTTGAAATAAAAAAAATTTTTCTTCCGGACCGGTCCGGAGCTTTTTCTTCGATCCGGGTCCGCAGGTTTTTGGGTCCGATCCGGTCCGCAAAAATTTCTGTTTCGGTCCGTCCGGTGCGGACCGGACCCGTCCGCGGATTCAATTACATTCATTATATTGTTCAGTTAATTCTGTGCTCCCTATTTAAAAAAATCTTTAGGGTTAAGAGGTCGCAGAATTATTTGAGCAACCTAATATATAGCGTTACTTTCGTTATAAGAAATGTAAAATTTTAAATTTAACAACATTTACTATGTAATTTCACGCCTGACATAAAGTAAAAAATCAAAAATCGACTTTCATTTTTGAGCTAATAAAATGATGAACGAACAGCTAAAAATTGCTAATGTCGCTAAATAAAAAATGGGGTTTTTAACGTGCTTTATGACGTCTATTACAGTGATGTTACATTAAACTCTTGGCGCCTTTTAGATGACAAAATAAGCCTTTGATGGGGTTAAAAATATTTTTTAAAGCAAAAGATGTTAGAATTGTGGGCTAAATTTTTAAAAAATGTTTTTATGAAAATATGACCTGCTGCTAAAAAGTATGGCCTACTGTAACCTAGGACAAAAAATATGGGAAACGGGGCTTTTTTTGTTCTACCCCTCCCTTTACCCTTCCCTTTCTGGTTCTGATGACAAATTCTAAAGAAGTTACGCCCTGGTGACATATTATAAAGAAGTTACTGTATAAATTTCAAAAACTACCAAACCAAACCCAAAAAGCAACTTCAAAATGGCCAAAAACCATGTATTAATACGACAATGATACATTAATATAAAGTAATGATACATTAGAGAGGCAGAGATACGACCATGTCAAAACGGTTTAAAAGGCCACGAGGCGCAGAAGCAAAATATATAAAAAGTCAGGAATGGTCGCGCACTCGAAGCCCTTCAAAAAGTAATGTTTAAAAGGCCAATTTCAAAAAGTAAAGTGAGTTTAATATACTTCAAGTATGTTTGTAGTTATGACTTATTACTGTAACAGCACTGGTTTGTGACGAAATGTATTGTTTTTACTGTAACTTGATTGTGATAAGATATATTTTCACAGTCGTAGCTTATCGTGAGCTACTGTAAGAACAGGATTTTAAAGATGACAAGGTACTAGAGAGTACAGTAAAATCAAAAAATAAATGTAAAGTAGTAACTTTAAGTACAAGACTTACAAAGCAGCACGTCTAAAACTAAACATAATCATTATTTTTAATACAGTAACCTTACAGTATCAAAATCCAAAAGCGAACTATAATAAAAAACAGTAAAGTACCCTACCCACCGACTTACTTCAGTCCTAAATATATTTACAGTAGTAAAAACTGTTTGCATAATTGATGCCTACAACATTCTTGAGATCGTTATCTTTAGAGGTCAGAAACTCAGGAATGAGTAATGGGTCGTGTTACTTTACACAAACTTGTCAAAATAGTAAAAACTTGTAAAAAACAGAAACATAGTAACTTTTTTAACTGCGTGACAACATAGGTATCACCACGTAACAATTGTGTAAGAAGTTTTATGTTGATGCGAAAAGAATGGCATATTTATATTTACAATGCAATCATTTGTAAATACGTAACACAAAAGTCAGACAAGATTTTCTGTGTTTTACATTACCTTTACTATCTACAGTACTAAAGACCTATTACAATACCTTCTCTATCTACAGGGCCTTCCCTTACTACAGTACTTTCTCTATCTATAGTACCTTCCCTATCTAAAGTACCTTATATATCTGCAGCACCTTCGCTACCTACGGTACCTTCCTTAACAAAAAGGTACCTATCTACAGTAAAAACCTTTACCGCCCCTTAACCTAAAAGCATAAAAATAACTCCACGCCCAACAAGACCCATTACAAACCCACAATAACATTGTAAATGGCAGTAAAGGTATAACCAGCCGGCTGTCTGCACAACATTTGTTGACGTTTTTTAAAAATGGCTCCATCAATTTGATAGTGATAAACAGTTACATTGTAATAAACACTCTCCAGAAGGCTGACCTTGGATTGGTCTTGTCGAAACAGACAATAAAATAATATTCGAATACTTTCTGGAGACCTTGAAGCGCAAAGGTCCGATTAATACCTTGGAAATGTGATTTTATCTCGAGTAATTTGAATATATCCATAAGTTTTTTCAAAAAAAATTTTTCTGATTGGTCATAACCTGTGCTCCCCAACACCAAAAATTTGCTTTGAGAAGAGGCTCACGATTATTTTAAACCTTTAAAGTAAAATTTTAACTTTCAAATTCATTTTCGACTGATTTTTCTACCAACTTTCATAAAACTCTTCAAAAATCGGCCAGTCAACCAAACCTTTAAAATTGAGAATAGCGACCGGTCGTATCGCCCCTGCGTAGCGCAGGGGAAGTCTCTTCCGTGAGGCGAAAAATGGCAGACGGGCTCTAGTAACGGTGTAAAACAGCAGAGTAAAACTAGTCAAGTATCAAATGTGAGACTCTTGCACGCGTCAAAAAGCCACCCGGCTTCTGCACCCGAGATGGCAGTTTTTTGGCACTTAAAATTTCAAAAAACTATTTTTTATTTTTTTACAAATTACTTTATAGTAAAACGATAAACAACAGCTGCTGAAACAGGTAAACTTAACTTAAGCAAACCCATCATTTTATGTTATAATTTTATTAAAACAATGGCAAAACTACTGTCACCAGGAAGGCCCCTGACTGTCACCTATTTACAATCGCTAGTCAGTTTGTAAAAAAACAAAAAACAACATACCAATAACAACAACTTAACAAGTAAACAAACCTACAAATTACCATTACAATAAGTTAATACTATCTACTCTACTCAAATCAACCTGATCTATCATCATTACAATCTCTTTAAAACTGTATACATACATCTTTTAAAACAAAAGCCTCATAAACTCGTTAAAACACCTTAAAAACCCGAGATACATAAAAAAAACTACAACAATATAAAACTAGTCAAAAACTAAAACCCTAAGTAACAAAAAACAACTACCTTAACACACCAAATTATAGGTTAAAATCCAAAAAAGTTTGTGGTACTTCCATCCTTGTTTCCACTGCCAATACTAAAGTTGAACGGCTGATCCTCCCCATTGTTGTCGTTGTCAGCCGTGTCAAATAAATTGAAATTGAAGCCTCCAGCATCATTGTCAGACGAGTTGCTCACCAATTGGAGAAAGTCTGAACCTGGATCCACAGAATTCTGGCTTGTATCGATCAGTCGCTCCAGAAGTTCGTCATTTTGAGAGGTTTCTTTCGATGGGTCAAAGTTGTTGAAGTTGAATGACTTATCTAAAAAAAATAGTTATCTGAAGATAAAAAATAAAAAGTTAAATAATTTTTAATGTTTAAAAAAGAAGTAAACAGGCAATGTCAAACATACCATCCAAATTAAAGACCGGCTCGTTCTTCTTCGGCTTTTGTCGTTTTCCAGGAACTTTCGGAACAGCAAAAACAGGCGATTTCGGAGATTTCTGAACATTCTTCTCAGGAGATAAGTATACAGGAGATAAGGACTGGACCGAGTCGTTGAAACCGTTTTCTTCTTTTTCTGGCTAAAATAAAATATTTATTTGTTTAATAAACTAAATTCAATTGACATAAAATATCCTTTTTCCAGCCTACCTCATCAATGATAATGCTGTCATTGTTATCGTTCCCAAAATTGAATCCAACATTGAACGAGTTGTTAACGTTCTCCTCCTCTTGTGAGTTACTTTCCCCTCCAATATCGTTCTCTTTTTCATATATAATACTGTCGGACTTGTTTTGTTCATCATCAATTAACATGACCGAGTCATTCTGTTCATTCTCGTCATTTTCTTCCTCTAAAAGTTTTATTGTCAGTTCGAATTTACATTAAGTTACATTCTATGTCTAGTTTTACACAATATAACAAAGAATGTTAAGATATATTAGTTTAACTTACCCTGACTAGGCCAATCGCTTTCCTCTTCATCTTGATCATGTTGTGATTGTTTCGCTTCTCGACCCATATCTAAATCAACAATAGTTTACTAAAAAGATATCCATTGCAACCTTAAATACGTTAAGTAAAAAAAGCACGATCAAAACTTTGTTACCTAAAACAACTTACTTTCGTCCTGGATGAGCGAACCAAAGCCGTTGTTCTTTGGAGACTCTTGAGTAAGTTTGCCAACAACATCATCAATCCGTTCTTCACATTTTTCTTGTTTATGACCATTTGAACCGTAATTGCTTTCCTTTACTTGCCCGTGATGAACCTTTGGTTGATTGTGATTAACCTCCTTCGGTTGACTGTGATTAAGTTCCTTCGGTTGACTGTGATTAGCCTCCTTTAGTCCACCGTGATTAATATTCTTTAATTCACGTTGATTTACCTCCCTTAATCCATCGTGATTTACCTGTTTTAATTCACCGTGATTAGCTTTCTTTAATTCACGTTGATTAATTTCCATCAATTCACTGGGCTTGATCTCCTTAAATTCCTTCTTTTGAGAGAGTTCGAGATCTTCTTCCAGCGAATCGTTCTTTTCTTGAAGCTAAAATCACATAAGTAAGCATAGCGTATTTTACATATAAAAATACTTCAAAAAAAGCTCAAATATTAAGTGTAGTCAAGATAAATAATATCCAACCTTTGCGTTCTTGACCAACAATCCAGCCAATGTCTTCTTCAATGCCTTCGATTTGACAGCGCAACTCGCACAATCCACAATAAACTTAATGTAGTCCAAATCGTTGTATCTTTTCACTTAAAGCATTTAAATTTAATTTTAAAAATATTATTTAGCGTCAACATTACGCATACGTTACATATAAAGCCTTCAAAAATAAAATAATAGACATTATAGGCTTAAAGACATATCAAAAAAGTATCTTACACTTCATTTCAGTTTCGTAGTAAAGTCTTTCTTCGTTTTCATACTGTGCTTTCAACTTTGCTGCTTCTTCTTCTGCTGATTGTGTTTCTGATTTTGCCTAAAACATTTTGTTACCTAAAATTGTAAAAAAAAACCACAAAATCAATAAAAATTTTTCGAGTCCATGTATTTATTCCTAGCTCCTTATAAATTCAAATGTAATACATAGAAAGCCGACAATATATTGCAATAGCCAAAAACCGAACAAAACTTTAATGTGAATGACATACCTTATTCAAAGCAGGAAGCCACTTTCTTCGTGACAATCCATCTTCATACGCCACCTTTCTTACATTCAACTCATCTAGTGTTGGAATACGAACTTCATTCTCATCATCTTCTGCCTAAAACCATAATTATCAGATAAAAGTTCATAAGTTTCTTACGAAAAAACTCGATTTAGCATTGTTACCTAAAATAATTTTAAAAAACAAAAATTAACTTACAAAGCAAAAAGCTTCAATGTTAAAGAAAGACTTTATCATTGAGTTGCTGCGGATGTTTGAGCTCATCAAGTTCTGTGTTTCCGTGTGTAATCTTCGAAGAACTTGCAACTGCTCCGACTTTGCTTTACCATCTCGCTCCGCATTTGATTTAGCCAATACCAAACCTTGTAAATGACTGTCAAACTCTAAAAACACAGAAATTTAAATTCATTACCTAAATTATAGTTTACGAATAGTTTTAGAATCATTTTTTCACTATACACACAAAAATTCGTGCCTACTAAAACGACAAAAAGAATAAGAATATTGTACTTACGCTCAATTTCGTTCTTTTTGTTCTTCAATTTCTGCGCCAGATCAGCGTGTTCGGCCACTAAAACAAGAAGAGATAATTACACAACAAATTCATACTCATTCAGCCCATAAAAATCAAGAATTAAAATAAAAATCATATGATACTTACCTAATGCTTCCAGATTGACGCCTTCAGAAGGCTGAGAGCGTGGTGAAGTACGTGAAGTCGACATTTTTACATAAATTTTCGTGAAATTTCGTAAAATTTACAAAAATATACACCTGATACAGTAGAACAATTTTTGTTTATTCAAAGCGTTTTCGTTACAGGACTCAAATGTTGTTGCAATGTAACATTAAAAAACTAATTTAATTTCCTGGAGTAAAACTTGGTATACGCTCTCATATTGTTCATGTATTCATTTATTTGTTCTTCTGAGATCATTATTACAGTTTTTAAGTTAATTTACATTATAATACAGTTTGCCCGTTGTTTTTTGTCGTGTTTTTTAACGAGTTGTTCTAAAGCCGCAGAGTCGATGCCTAAATCCGAAGCTGTCCGCCGCGATGGCATCGATTGTCGACGTTTTTTTAATTGTAGTTCGGAAGGAGTGCAGGTTATTCGCAGTTTGTCCATCAAAGTCCAAAACACGTGCTGTACCTGCAAGAACATCGAGTTGGTTATTTATAATATCACGTAAGTCTATTATTATATATTTTATTATGTATGGGTTTAGAAATTGTGAAGACTTCCATATTGCTTGAGAACAGTGTTGAGATGCAAGAGTATTAGCTTTGGTCTAAAGTTTTTAGTAAAGATGTGTTGGTAACCTACTACAACATCGCGTTTGCTTAAAAATTCATTTTTAATCGCGATTTTGCCTATAGCAACATTCCGAAAAGAAAAATCAGTTTTTCTGTCAAACTTTTCATTTGAAAATTTACAGAATTCATACCTCTTTTAGCTGTTTAGCAGTAATATTAAGCATGGGTATCTGATTCCTTCTGGCGAATTCCTGTGGATTTGCATCTGCTGGCCACACATTTCCATTGGCATCTGGTACTCGTAGGTCGGCTTTGTTACCTACTAGTAGTACTGGGGCCTGAAATACACAATTTAAATTTATGTTTTACAAATAATAAAGAAAGGATTTGAAATCTTGATAACAATAATAATATTGTCAAAATAATTTTTAAATTGGTATAAAAATGCCCCTACTATATATTAACATAAATAAAAGACTATTAATTATCGTCAAATAACTTACATTTTTAGGGCTTTTCTCTTTAATTTCATTGACGATTTGGACAGCTTCAAGATACGACCCAGGATCATCGACCGCATATACGACCATAAAGGCATCACCTTGTTTATAATACAGGTCCCTCATGGCTAGAAAGTCGCGTGATCCGCTGCTGTCGATGATTTGTACTAACAACTCGCCATCTTCAGCTTCGTATTCGATCCAGTTGAACTCTTCGACTGTCGGTCGATATTCTCGGATAAAGGCTTCCCATAGGAACTGGTTCACTAACGTCGACTTCCCTACCTGAAAATCGTTTTTAGGTTTGATTTTTATGTATTTTAGGTAATATTTTAATAAAGGGGTTGTTTGGGTCAAAGAATATTATTACATAGGATAGCTATAGCTTTATGTGATGTTACTATAGCTGAAGTAACATCACGTAAATTTCAAAAAAAGATGTTTAACTTACCCTAGGCGCCCCCATTAGTACCACGGTAAGCTGTGACGGTAGATTTGTAGCTTGGATTCCTCTACTCGAGCTCATATCATATGAATTTCTGAAACGACAATGGTTAGAGGAAAAACTTTATATTATAGTAGATCTTTTATAGTTTATATTGTAGTAGACTTTGTAAAATTTTAAAGTTTTTTTTGAATTAAAATGGCTAAAATGTTAATTTAAATTCACTTTTGATTGCTTGCTCTAGTTACGTTGTTACCTAATTTAAAATCACAGGGATATTGAGTTACTCATGGGTTTAAATATAAAAGGTTTAGAGGAAGTATTTAAAGATGAGTCTTACTGTAACACACATCTAAATGTCTCTTACTTACTGTGACACACATCTAAGTTTGTTTTTCGGGCCTATAAAGTGGGTCTGGACTGTTTCTCACTAATAGTCAAAAATAAATAAAATCAATCATAATCAAAATCCTACTGTAAAAAAATCGAAATCTTACTGTAACACAGTAAAAACCTTAAACTAACCTTATTCGAGCTAGAACGTGACAAAACTGTTTCCAGAGCCCGGGACGGCCCAATATATTTTCAAAGTTTGGCCTAACGAGTCATAAACTAGGGGAGAGACGGATCTCTCAATTATATTACCGGACCTTATTTAAGCTCTTCCCAAAACGGCAAAACGATTAAAACGAGGACATTCTTCTAGACTTGGGGAAATACGGTGATACCATTGTGTGAGTACGTTAGGCACGGTGAGGTCATTGTTACAAGAATGTTACAAGAGCCAGATAGAAAACCTACATTACAGTACAACACTCTTTCCTTACCTTACAGTAATCTTGCGTTTCACCTCCGTGGGAGGCACACAACTCTCCATGGCTATGAACAATGTAAAGTAATGAAGGAATTACTTTACTCTGTTGTGAAAGTAACAAAAGTTACTTTGGTATTAGCGTAACAACCTTGACTTTAGTGTCAATGTCACAATAATGCCATAATACATACACAGTAAATAGCTTATAGGAATAGTAAATGACAGTGAATGTTATGAAGACCTAATACATGGCTTACACGCGCAGTAAATGCCACTTATACACAGTAAATGGAACATACAAACACAGTGAGTGGTATTATATACAGAGTAGTAGGAATGCCTTATGTACAGAGCAAGGTGAATGCCTTGTATACAGAGTAAAGTGAATTCCTTATATACCGAGTAAATGACACACGGTAAGCCGGTTGTATATGAATGATGTCAGTGCTGAGTCATTGTTTATTCATAATGTTGCCCAATATATGGAATAGGTAATGGCCGAACGTTCGCCCAAATGTTGGGGTTTTATATTTAATTTAACGTGCGAATACGTCTGGTTAACAAGAATTGCGATTACTATGCAGAATGTTTTTGAATTATACATGAGGGCGTGATTGGAGGTGGTGTTTGGTTTTGTCTTATTTATTATTGTATAGGGGTTCCTTTTTTTGTATGGTATTCAATTTGCTGTACCATTCAATTATACGCACTAATAGCGGAGGAGTGGGGAGGGACGGATAAAGGGTAGATTATACAACCTTTTCCAATTTTTTAAAAGGAAGCGTCTCTTCCCTCCTAATACTGATCCTTTCTCAATAAAAATAGACCTCTCACTGTGCATAACTATTTATTAGGTTTTCCAAATAATTCTGTGCCCCCAGACCTGAAAGTTTGATTTGAGAGGGAGCACATAACTATTTGAACATCTTAGTAGATTGACGATTAAAATAAGATTCAGTGCACATAAGATAAGACTATACCCCGGTTTAACCTTCACTATATCAAGAAAAAATGGATGACTTACCGTGGTATCTGACAGGGACTTTTCCTAGGCGGTAGTTGTGATCTACATCGATTTACGGCATGTGATCCACCCCGAGCGTACAAACCTGGCTTCAGTTGACGCCTCGTCGTCATCGGATCGTGCTGATAGGTATTCATTTTTCTGAGTTTAAAAAAATTAAATTAATTTTAAAAATATTGAACGCGTTTAAACAAAGTGTAAGGTTAAACAACATTCACGATTTATCGAAATATTATAATCAGATAGCATAAGGTTAGGCTATTATTAGGTTGTTCAAATAAACCCAGAATTCCAAAAATTTGCCTTGCGAAGGGACATAGAATTAACTGAACGACTTAATATCATACATGATAAAGTGCCTAGGGATGATATACGGGCCGAACCAGGCAACTCTAGGCCCTACAAAAAAATTTTTTTTTTTAGTATTTTAGGTAACAAATGCCATTTTTTCTTTATTTTAGGTAGCAAAAAGTTATTTTTTCAATATTTTAGGTAACAAACCGCTTTTTTGGTACTTTAGGTAACAAAAAATTATTTTTTCAATTTATTATAAAGGACGCTTAAAGAGAATCTTTACTAATGTAGCCTTCTAAAACTTATAAAATTTACAAAAACCATTATATTAACTACCCTCATAACCATTGTAAACCATTTGACTATACAACGCCAACCTTTTTTGAATAAACAGAACGTAGAGTTCGTAAGAATGACCGATAAACCGGAATCTATTCATTCTGGCCGAAAAAAAGATGTTCCGGTCAGACGTTGGGGCCAATTTATAATCGAATTGCGAACACTTTTTCACTTTCGTGCTGGAACAAAGCAATGGATCACACAGTACGACTACTAATTTCGGAAACTTTGTTAGCTATTCTTAGGAGTTAGGGATATGTGGTCGGAGCTGTGTTTCTTGTTGCTTTGGAGAAAGTTTAAAGGAAATTATAGGGTTTTACCTATCTTAACTCAAAAAAAATTTTTTTAAGTAAAGCGTGGTACCCGGGGTGAGGTAGAAGGTTTGGGTCTGGGAGTAGGGTGAGAAATGGTCCTGCCCTTGTTTCAACTTTAGCTCAATGTTTGCCCTATCATAGAGCCGGCTTTAAGCCCGATAATTAGAGCCGAATCGGGCTTGCATGGTTCGTTTCTTACTTCTATCTAGAAGGGGTAAGAGAGAAAAGAATTTTGTCTAAAGGAACGGTTTGGGGAGGATGAAAGAATAAAAAAAGTTTTAAAAAATTGAGAATCAGGTTTACCCTGTCTTATATCAAAAATTAATTTGTTCTTCAACTAATATGCCAAATTTTGCTAAAGTGGCCTTTTTGGCACAATATTAAAAGTTTCTATTACCAATATTTAATCTTTTGTATATGATGATAGCTTATTTTGTTGTGTGCCTCCATTTAAAACCTAAATCTATTTAAAGCCTAACAAAGTAAAAATAAAATTATTTTACGAATACGAACGTAATAACTAGTTCCATTGACAACTATACTATATATATGCTTTTCAAAGGTTGAAAACTGTAATTAGGGTTCAGAATGTTCAAATGAGCAACATAGTAACTCTAGTTGTAAAGTAAGTTTTTGCAGTTCTTGTTAAAACAGTACCTCAAGTTATAGTCAGCATACAGTACTTTCTCAGCCACCTATTTTTATTTGAAAATTGTTTGTAATACATGAACTTCCGCCTAATTTACAATCGTATATAAATAATTGAAAATAAAACATTAACTGACAGCTTAATACCAACTTAGTACCCCAACTTTCATTGTCTCTCATTCTCATTAACTATACATATATGCACTACACAGCGTTCTAATCATGCTCTGTAACTGAATATCTTCTCATTATGTCATAAAAATCTCACTAAATCTTCTATTTTGTGCATTCACAATTAGAATAATCTGAAATCATGACAAAACATAGATTAAAGATGTAAGAAGACAGATTAATCGTATAAGGAAATAAACTTGTTATAGGAGGCGGATTGTATGGTAATTTTGAAGCACGGATTTAAATGTCTCGTAACTTCAGGATTTAAAACGACGAAAAACAGTCTTTTAAGATAATATAAATCTATAACATAAAAAGATCAATATACATAGAGTTTTAGAACAAACCTAAAAGTCGTGTCTCATTATAGTATAGGGTAGGGTAGACATTGAACGTGCCCCGAGCTGCATCGTTCTAAAAAGGGTCTGACTAAACAGGTTTCACTGTATTTGATTTACTATTAAATTGTTCAAATAATTCTGTGCTCTTCTCAAAGAAAATTTTTGAGATTAAAAGGCACAGAACTATTTGAAGAGCCTAATGAACTAGGGAAATAATGATAATAAGTCATATTTTTTCGTATTTCTTTTAAATTGTGTACTATCCTACTAATGGCGAGACAAATACCTGGTCAGGGTCCTAATATGTTCATAAAAACTGAAAAAAATTAGATTTTTGTTTCTACACCCTAAAAAACGTTTGCAGAAAAGTTAGCCTTGTCTCCACGTTTTAAAAACGTCTTAGTCATAATCAACACAAGACTCCTATATATAAATGTGGTGCATATAAGGAGAATATACTACAGTAGAACTGCTGTATAACGAATCGCTCGGAGTTTTGAAATTTGTTCGTTATAAAGGAGTTTCGTTATACAGGAGTTTTAAATGCACTGTGTAATGGTAGACGGGGATTCAAAAGTTGTTCTTTATATGGGAATTTCGTTATACATGTGTTCCAATTTATAACTGCCTATGAGTAGGATATACTATTACATAAATACCTTTCCAATCGTTGAAACGGCTGATTGTTTAGAGGAATAAAACAACAACAACAATCGGTTTTACGTCAAGTCGTGAGCCTTCATTTTCACTACAATCAAACCTTTTTAGCATGACCCTCGACAGTGTGACTTGCGCTTTGAGCTTCAGGTAGCACTGTTTGAGATCCAGAGTTAATGATATTTTTTTAAATTTAAAATCTCAAAACCTAGACAAGAAAATCAAAAATCGTACTTCCAAAAATAGTCTCAACTTTTGCTAAAATAAGTGCCATTCCAAACCTAATCCCTATTTCTGGAAGTCCTCGAAAACCGTGGGAAAATGGGCGACAAAAAATAAAAATAAAACTCAAGGAACTAACAACCATCTACTATAATATTATGTTAATATAGAACTAACAACCATATACAATTATGTTAATATGGGAACTTATTCATTACATTGGTATTAAATACGACATAAATTTTTTTGATTTTATCAATGTATAGTAATTTTGTTACAGAGTAATGTAATGGTATAACAAAACTTTCTAATGTTGTGGTAATATTAGTTTATTCAAATAGTTCTGTGCTATCTAAACTCGAAAATATGCTTTAAAAGGAGGCACAGAACTATTTGAACAACGTAATATAAATTTACATAAAACTTAAAGACCTACATATGAAAAGCTACAGTATAAAACCATGTAATACAAAAATATACCTTAAATGCTACAGTATTTACACATCGCATCGTATGACAGTCTTCTATACAACAACTAAATATAGAAAACTTTTTAACCATATAGTAACTAGTAAATGATGATAATTATTCAACGCCCTAACGACATGTTTACTGAAGCAGTAATGACTGACAGAATACTTAAAAGAAAGGTTATTTACCGCATTAATTAAAGATTGGTATGTCATCGTCACGATATAGTAAACACATGAATAACATAACTAATTTTTGAAAAAATTAGAGAAATAATCTTCTATTCTCTCAACCTCCCCCCCTCCCTCCCTTTACCTCAGCTAAAGCGCCAGCTTTTGGCGAACCCTTATCCACGTCCCCAGAAAGTCTACCGGTAATTACAATATACTATTAAGAAGAATAGTAACAATAATATAGCCAATTACTATGTTATAGGATATAAGTGTATGCTATTGGCTTTGTGTAATTACAAAGAACATACTGATAATGTTGACCTAGTATTGCACTATTAATTCCGCAATTACTAACAAGGAAAGCACCCGACCTGCTCCGCTCTGATTGACTTCAAATTTTAATGTAGAAAGACCATAGAAATAAGATCTTCAGCAAGCTACTATTATATTTACATCACGTTTTCAAGGAAATCTCGAAAAAACCGTAATCAAAAAATTACGTTTTGAAGTTCCGACCAAATTGGCATTGCGTTTCAAGCGTATAACTTTGTCAATTTTTTACTTTTTATAATTTTTCTTTGATGTACTAGTAGGAAAGCTTTACATAAACCTACATAAGCAAGTTAAAATAACCTAAATAATTTTTAAATTTGTAGGCTTAGTTTACCTAAACATTTAAAAAATGGTTGAAACACAATGACAAATTTGCCAAATCGGCGGGAAACTCAAATATTTCAAATTTAAAACTAAAAGCGCGGGCTAAACTATTTTATAGGTACTATTGATAGTACAAAGAATTTATATAAAACGTTTGAGCTGATTCTAAGTCGGCAGTTGCTTACTTTGTTATCTTTTTTACAATGAATAGTACTGCAAAGCGTAAGGTGTGCAGGTAATGGCAATTGCAAAACATCATTTTATCGAACAAAGAACCTACAGAATGCTAAAACCGATTTTACTACTTTTTTAAACCTAACAATAAATAAACAGCACAAGGAATGTTCAGCCAAACCCTAAAATTGTTACTATATTTTGCAAAACAACTTATAATTTTTGTTTTTTACGAAATATTTAATGAAATTACTGTCGAACCTTATAATTTAAACTTGAATATTTTGGTTTTGTAACAACATAAGCACGATACAAAGTATAATAATATTAGTAATATTTTAAGTTGTTCAAGTAATTATGTGCCCCTTAACTCTGCAAACGTGCTTTGAGAAGAAGCACAGAACTATATGAACAATCTAATATATTATATAATAACAGAAATTACCGAAAAGTCTACTACAATATAGGGCAAAATAAAGACTATTACGATTTGCTGCGATGCAAATCAACACGTTAATATTAAAATACTTATTATGTTTAAAAGGACATGATACCATACGATACAATGGTTTCAGAAAGAACGTGCCTACATGAAATTACCGATTCCGACCGCCCAGAAAGCTCATCAAATAAACATGGATAATATCCTACATGGTGTGTCCTTTTTAGCCCA